TTTTTACCCCCCCCTACAGAATCCTTATATCCGCCCCTGTTTAAACATAAGTTTAAAAAAACCCTCCTGCATCACACAGAGGCACATTTTGATGTATTGCGCATGCTCATTACTGCATAGCTGAGGCTTGGTCTGCCTAGCATATCTGGGAGGCTCGTGTCTGAATAGCGGAGGCTCATGGCTCCCTCCCTCGTAAAACATTTGACACTTAGTCAACGAATAACGACATTCGAAGAAATCAATGCACGCACGAATTCAGAAAATTCTACCACGAATGAAACACAAAATAGGGTTAGCCACAAAGAATGAGACCCTAAAGGGACTGTAGAGGAAAATTGAAAGGGGTATATAGGCTGAAATCTACGCATTTTAGGAGTTGATCGAGACCCATAAGAGTTCCATCTGATGTTCCTGTCTCGAAAAAACTGTGTCTAATTTATACGAAAATATATATAATTTTTTTTTACAAAAATAGTAGGGTTAAATAAATTATATTTAGCAAATACGCTACCAATCTGAAAACGACGATTTCCCAGAGGAGTCTATAATGTTTAATTTTTAATACATATAATTGACAATTTATTTATTACGTCCGCATCACATGTGTGTGTGACGTGACAAGAACTCTCACCAATGGCAGTGCAGTTTTATTGTCACATGTCTCTGTCTGTATCACGTGACCAGTTAAATTAATAACAACATTCAAAGATGCCAATAAACGAACTCAAAAAATCTCTCAACGTGAAATAGAGGGTGTTTTTTAAATCTTGTTAATTCTGATTGTTCTCAAATACAGGGGGAAAAATAAATATGTTAACATATAATGGGAGGTTTGATTTACAAAAAGAATTAGATGATTATGTTAAAAGATGTTGAAAGTGTCCGCCCGCATTCTTCAAACAAAAAGTCGCTCTTTTCCGGAAGTTTTCAGCCGCTGACTGATGCGTAGACCAAAAAAATTGCTCCGATCTTTTTTGAACTTTTAATGCAACCTAGGCCTATAATCAAAGAGGGGGTTCCCTGAAAATTATAGTCAGATCAGTCGAAAAATGAGGGTGCCGTTAAAAACTCTCTAAAAGTCGCCTCCCCTGCTCGCCCATGTTGTTACATACAATTAAACCCATGATGACCGGTTTTTTTGGACGCTGCGCCATCATTTTTAAAGCTATTGAGCTAAAATTTGAAGCATACCCGTATCACATGCATAGATAGGCTGTGGTGGAAAAATTCTAAATTTTTCTTAATTTTCTAAGGTTTAAAGGAAGAAAATATGCAAAATGAAATCTGTACTATTAATGGCCAATAGATGCGTTTTTTTTATTTTTTTCGCGGATTTTTATAAATTCAGTAACCTCTCTCTCTACTCTTATTGATAAACCCTTTCCACCATCTCCTGAATTCTATTCTTATTGATAAACCCTATACCCCCTCTCCTGAATTATAGTCTTATTGATAAACCCTATCCACCATCTCCTGAATTCTACTCTTATTGATAAACCCTATCCACCATCTCCTGAATTCTACTCTTATTGATAAGCCCTATCCACCATCTCCTGAATTCTACTCTTATTGATAAACCCTATACCCCATCTCCTGAATTCTACTCTTATTGATAAACCCTATACCCCATCTCCTGAATTCTACTCTTATTGATAAACCCTATACCCCATCTCCTGAATTCTACTCTTATTGATAAACCCTATACCCCATCTCCTGAATTCTACTCTTATTGATAAACCCTATACCCTATCTCCTGAATTCTACTCTTATTGATAAACCCTATCCTCCATCTCCTGAATTCTACTCTTATTGATAAAAACCATGTGTGCACAGTTATTTGTAAAATGTAGATATTTTTTTTTGCATTACCATAAGCATAACTCATTTGAAATTTGAAAATTTATTTATAATTGTCTCAATCCTATAATACAAGCGTATGCATATGAACAATTTTTTTATCAAGAGCCAAATTTTATATTATCCCACAAGCTGGTTACAATGTCTTTTAAAATCAGAAATACTCCTACAGAAGGTCAGTTTGGAACCCTCACAAATGCAGTGTACTAACCAAATCATATCAAGAGTATACATATTTATATTTTAACACATTTTTATTGTGATATTTTTTTTACAGATAAACATTTTTTTGGATATTAAAATAGCAAAAAAAGCTTTCATGTGATTAAAATTGGACTGTTTTTTACCTAACAATTTGAAAATAATATTCAAATTTTTTAAATGATGATATATACGATATCTTATTTTAACTTTGTTCGATATGACAACACGTTTACAGTATGGCACAAACATCAATTCCGTCTGCCATTCCGTCATCCATAAACACTGTAGTCTCCATAGGAACTATTCCGTCCTAATACACCAAAAGGTTTGAGGTCAGGCATAACAAATATTAAATCCGTAAAATTATTTATGTTTAAATTTGAATTAAAGTCTTAAATAAACTGAAAAGGAAAGGACAATTTACACATTTTATTCATACGTATAATGACGACCTTTTCTATCCTGGAGATATCGACGGGGTAGAAGACCAGTAGATCCATCATTATACAACATCTAAACAAAAAGGAATTGTTGTTGTTAATGTTTTATAATTATTGTTTTTGTGTAGTATGTTTTTGTTCTTATATAGGCTGGTGTGTTTTTTTTTGTAAAAAAAAAAAAAAACTATCCTTTCAGGTGAAATTTTAGAAACGAAACTAATCTCTAACTTAGAAATGATACACAGTAAAAACGTCTCATTGGTATCAAATGAAACCTAATATTTTTCCTGCACTCTCGGTTCAAAACCGTTACAATGCCAGTCTCTCCCTTTAGAGTCTGTTGATCAGACTGATTAAGTTTATTTCTTTTGAATCTCTGAAGGTTTGAAGAATCAATTTAGGATATCAAAGGTCTCCGCACTGTTGACATCGACTTTAGATCTTGTAGATTAGCATTGTCCCATTACACATTTCAGACCTCAGCATGGGCCGCCGTGGTACATTTGAATATCCGAGCCGGGTTAACCTTTCCGGTCACAGTTTGTACTGTACCGCACGGACATTGATTTGATAAAGCAGACAATCAACAGTACTAGCCGGTGCAGCAAGGTTGACGCGGTCAGACTTTATGCTTCATTTATGTTGAATTTACTTTTACTAAAGGGGCAGAGGTGCGTGTCAGACTTCTCTCACTCTGCTGCTAGAAATAATTGCACATTAAAGGGATTATACAAACATAATTTCAAACCCCAGCAGGGATTCATCTAAATACAGGGATCAACAGCAGGGATTCATATAAATACAGGGATCTACAGCAGGGATTCATATAAATACAGGGATCTACAGCAAGGATTCATCTAATTACAGGGATCAAGAAAAGTTAAATATCGAGATTTACTCAAACACAAGGTTCGATATCTGTTTAATCTAAAAAGAAGGTATTAAGAACGACGTTATAAACAAATTAAGCTTAAAAACATAAACATAAAAGAATAAGAAGCCCTGTACTTTATTGTTTGCTGTGATTTGGAGAAAAAAATATTTAGTAAAAATATTTTGATTTTGCTGAAAAGAGAGCAATTATAAAGAGTAGATATTGACGTCATATTTTATAGAAGAAATTCTACTTAAACCCAATTCAGTGTATTCGCTGTAATTCTTTTTCTTTTATCTATATCTATATTTATATCTAATACATTATACATACAAAGACAAGAAAAGAAGGTGTAATTACTGTTAATTAAATATGTAAAACAAAAATAAACCAAAAGATAAGTTAACATAAAGAAACTCTGCAGTAGCTCAATCTCCATGCTAGGGTTTCCAACGCAAATTAGTGTAAACTTGGCACAATTCCGTATAATTCCACCCCTTTTCGGACAATTCCCCGCAATTCCGCACATCAAGAACAGGCCAGTTCCTTGCAAAGGAATTCCGATTGGAAACATTAATCTTCGCGATAAGATTGAGAAGGTCAAATTAATGTAATGCGAGTTTGTGAACCCGTATCTCATCTACACGCACCTCTGATCCTTCAGTAAAAGTAAATTCAACCTAAAGTCTGACCGCGTCAACCTTGTTGCACAGCGGCTAGTTCTATTGAGTGTCTGATTTATCTACCCAATTTTCGTGGCGATACAAACTGGGACTGAAAAGGTTGACCTGTCTCGGACTTTCAAATTTACTATGGCTGCCCGTGTTTAGCTTATATTTTTCCCTCAAGTATGAAAGCAAAATTTTTCTTATGTCAAAAATTAAAATAAGAAAAATCTTCTCAACAGTATTGAACAAGAGGAGTTATATTATTAAAATAAAAAATGTAATGATTTTAATAAAACGTAAAAGGAATTGAGTTTTTGCCACACACTCTGATTATTCAATGTTTGCAACCCATGTCGTAGACCTATTAATTAGAACTACTAATTCTGTTAGATGAAATATTCTAAGTTTGAAACATCAGGTTGCTAAGATAAAGGGATTAGAAAAAAAAACAATTCCTTTACTTTAATTTAAATGTTCGTCATACAACTACTATTACATACACTTCCTTCTTTTGAATATATGGCATTTTACATTTCCCTATTACATGGATACATACATTATACATATCTATAAGCCCCCAGGCAGGTAAGGTTTATGGATGATTGAATTTTTGAAACATTTGCCTCTAACAAAACTCGATTCTTGAAAATGCTGAAAACCCACGAAATATTTTTTTAAGAAATCCGCAAAATTTTTGTTTGTTTTTGTTTGACAATGTATAAGAATAGAAAATGTTCACAATTGATATATATATATATAAATATATTTGGTATATATATATGGTATATATTCAAATATATATAAGAGTATTAGGAAAAGGAATTTCTGATGTATTTGTAGAAACAAATATAATATTTCTTTTCTACAATATTATACTGCAGGATTGGATGTATTTGGATTTATTTCCTATTTATTCTAAAGAAAACATCAGAAAAATTTCTATTGATTAATAACTTCATGCAGTCGTCTTTGACAATTAAAATATTTTTCATCAATTGCAAAATAGTTTACGCCATAACTATTAAACAATGATTACGAATGCGCCCCAGTCCTGCCATTTTCAAAATGTGGTCTGTCATTTTCATTTTCATTTTGCTTAAATGATTACTGATGATTCCGGAGTGGATCTTTGAAAAGAGGGGGGGGGGGGTTAAAACTTTCCAATAAAACTGTGATTCAGTGGGAAGAGCACCAAGCGAAACTTGTGAGCGAGGAATTAGGAATTTTAAGGAATTGGCATTAAAAGTGAGTATTTTAAACTTTAAATCTATCGAATTGATGAAAAGTAAAACTATTATGATTTATAAAGGATTACGAAATGACTACAACCCTCTAAGAGACCACACCTAACGGGGGGGCTTTCTATATTTTCAAGGGAATAATTGAGTTAGAGCGCGCGCGCAAAATGCGCCTTGTTGCTATACCTAGCGGTTTCTACACCACGCACCTCTGACCCTTTAGTAAAAGTAAATTCAACCTAAAGTCTGATATACACGACAAAAGTCTGGTAGGTGGGAAGGTACCTAAATGCATAACTAGCATATTATATATTGTATATTTTATTCCGATTGATAAAAACATTGCCGAATATAAAGTGTATGTGAACCCCGCTAGATGGTATGCGGGAC